AAGAAGACCTTGCCCTGAAGATTGCAAGCATTGTACTAGGCAAGAGGGTAAGGAAGTGGTATCTGTGAGAATGCTCAGGACAGACCAGCTCAGCAATGAGTGGAAGGACAGCCTACAACATGCACAGCAGGAAGATTCGGACATTAAGCCGATTCTGGAATGGATGAAGGCCAGTGCTCCTAAGCCCAAGTGGAGCGACGTCTCAGCAATGAGTTCGACCACGAAAAGCTATTGGGCCCAATGGGACAGCTTGCTGATTCAGGATGGAGTCCTGTGCCGTAAATGGGAAAATGGTCGGGGAGACAGGTGTCATTTGCAAATGGTTGTCCCTAAGGCTAAAGTGCCGGATATTCTACGGCTGTACCATAGTGGTTGTTCAGGAGGCCACCTGGGAGTTAAACGAACTCTCCTGAAGATCCGAGAACGGTTTTACTGGGTCCACTGTCGTGACGATGTCGAGGACTGGTGCCGCAAATGTACAAGTTGTGCGGCTGTAAAGGGACCTCAAATTCGTAGTAGAGGCGCATTGAAATTGTACAATGTTGGTGCACCATGGGAGAGGATAGCCATTGACGTTGCGGGGCCGTTTCCAGAAACTGAAAGTGGTAACAAGTATTTCATGGTAGTGATGGATTACTTCACTAAGTGGCCAGAAGTCTTCGCCATTCCAAATCAAGAAGCTTCAACAGTTGCAGATAAACTAGTTCATGAAGTCTTCTGTCGTTTTGGAGTACCTTTAGAGATTCACAGCGATCAAGGAAGGAATTTTGAGTCTCAAATATTCCAGGAAACTTGCCGAGTTATGGGTACTCAGAAAACACGAACAACTTCTTACCACCCACAATCTGATGGAATGGTAGAAAGATTTAATCAGACATTGGAGAGGTACCTAGCAAAAGTTGTGGAAAAACGGCAACGAGACTGGGACAGGCACATACAACCGTTTTTGTTGTCATATCGAAGCGCTGTTCACGAAAGTACATCAGTGACACCAGCTTTCGCAAACTTTGGGAGAGAATTGCGGCTGCCTGCAGACCTGATCACCGGAATACCACCTGATGCCCCACGCAGTATAACCGATTATGCAAATGACTTGCGGAACAAAATGAATGACATTTATGAGCACGTCAGACAGACGGGCCAGCAAACGTCTGAGAAGATGAAAACACGGTATGACCGCAAAATGAACAACAAGGGCTTTGATGAAGGTTCACTAGTGTGGTTACACAATCCAGTTCGCAGCAAAGGGAAATCTCCTAAGCTTCAAGCTAAATGGGACGGACCGTACCGGATTGTGACAAGGATCAATGATGTAACCTACCGGATACAGAAAGGTGCCAGAGGTACTCCTAAGATTGTCCATGTGGATCGACTGGCGCGTTATTATGGGGCCAATAATGCTCGGGACGAGCATGTCTTAGGAGGGGGCAGTGTTACGCGCCACTATTAATGTCTTGTACATGGCAACACTAGTTACACTAGCGCCCCCTAGTGTCGAGTAAATGAAAGTATTGCGCGCCACTATTAATGTCTTGTACATGGCAACACTAGTCACACTAGCGCCCTCTAGTGTCGAGTAGCAGAACTAGGAGAGTCGAGATCCTTCCAGAAATTTCGGGACCGATATGTACTCGAACATTCTAGATGTCGCTACAGTAGAAGGTTCTGGAAACTATCTGAGGCCCTATATAAGACCGGTATAGACCACGACCGGGGCAGTATTGAATTGGCGATACAAGAGAATACTTCGAAGCGAAATAACGGCGAACTGTGTTTTATTATTAGTGTGATTTTAGATTGTAATTAGTCTTGTGTAATTAAAGTGTCAATTTTGGTAATTCAATCGGCAGTTTTTAATTGTCTCGAACCTCAAGCTCGTAACAATACGATCACGTTTAATACGATTTCTCGCATAATACGCCATTTTATATCAGTAACTGCAACTTGAGGCATGTTTTCATACATTTTTAACTCGCTTAATACGATTAGTCATCCTGTCTAATACGCCATCTGTGCGACATCCGAACCAAGCCGAGTAGCACGCAATATTCTCTTCGTTGATAACTGCCCCGCTCACCTTTAAGATTTTGGGCTAAAGAACATCAAGCTCGTTTTCTTACCTCCGAATGCGAGAAGCAAGTTGCAACCGATGGATCAGGGCATTATAAAAGTCCTTAAACAAAGCTACAGAACACGATTGATACTTCGCTATCGTAAAGAAATGGAAGACCCTGACATCAAACGACCTTGACTGTGCATGATCCGATCCTAAAAATTACAGCGGTATAGCAAGCAATTAAGCCTGAAACCATGCAAAATTGTTTCAAGAAAACGTTTCCGAAGTAACAAAGCTGACGTCGTGTTGGAAGAAGAACCCGCGATACTGCAGGGTTTTCCTGGATATTCTTCCATTGATAACAATGTTGCACCGTTGCAACGGGTTTCGCCGTTCAATCGAAGATCTGAATAACACCCAAAAACAGTTCCTAAGTGATGAAGATGAAGGAGAGTCAATTCCGACTATCAAACGCAGAGGCATTATGAGCAGCAAATGGTTTAAGGCGCTATGCATGCATTGTTGCTTTACTTAACTTACGTTAACTTGCTTTTCGCTTTCGGGGAAAGTGATGCATTATAAATATTATGCATCAATTAACTACAGTTAATTATTATTTCATATTATTATATTATATTAGTTGTGATGTAACGTATTTAAATACACATACATATTATGTATAATGTTATAGATTTCTAACAAATTTATAAATATATCTATAATTAAATACCTACACAAAATTTGTTAATGGTGTTATGTTTTATTTTCCCTATCCCGCATAATACGCTTTCCCGCTTAAGTCGCATTTTGGCTGGGTTCCTACAAAATCGTCTTAAGCGAGTTTTACTGTATATATTATATAGAAATAATAGAGTACTTATACTACGAAAATTTGATCGTAAGTTTTAATAATGATGATAGATGCCACTGTGCTGTGATGTGCACTGTGATTCTAAGTAGGTCCTGACATCATAATAGTGGGCGTGGCTTTAGTAACTCGTAGTATACTGTCAGCATTCGTCTGGTGCGCTTATGTGTTGAAAATCGCAAATCGGTGTATTTTCGTAGTATTAAGAAGAAAATGATGAAGTGTTGTGTTTTATCGTGTAAAAACTACTCAGATAGACGCTCTGATGCTATGGATGACATCACATTTCATTTGTAAGTAATTTTACACCTAATTTATTAAAATAGTTCTAGAAAAATCTCCTTGCGTCGGCTTTCAAATATAATTAAACATATTCGACACTACATGGCGAAACTTTATGTCATGTGAACTAAAAATATAAAGAAGGTACGTAGAGCTCAGTATTGGTAAAATAATCATACGAAGGTGCTGAAATTTGTTCTGCATTCAGACATAAAGAAATTTTAATCGCCAATATATTATTTTTATAGTTTATAATCATTTTGTGAACAGGCCGCCATCTATCGTCAAGGTTAACTACATTGCAACATCGATATGGAACGATTCGAGTAGTTTTACTATTTATCGGTAGATGTAGATAGTAAAGTGGGCGGGGCTTAACATCCCCTTACCTCGCAAATTGCCACACGTTATTACATAGTGAAATCTAATTACGACATCTCTTGGTATTTGCTTCATGGTGTGAACGCATGCGTAATAAATATGTTCATCTTAGTGCCAACTAGTGACATCTGTTGAGCGTAAGATTATTAGCTTTCATTGGTTGACTCTCAAGGTGGCACGTAAAATAGAGGCTGGATGGCCTAGATGACTAATTTAATATAATATTAAATTAGTCGTTTAGGCCATAGCTATAGCTGTATGTTTATCTCTTTTTAGTGTCGCTTTTTCGTTTCATAAAGTTTAACCTCCAAGAGTGGTGAAGATTATTTCTCCCGTAGATATTACTTATAAATATATCGCTTATGTACAAAATAACACTACGCTTACTACCGCTTCAACGAAATGACAACGATTGACAATTGAATGTTGTCCGTGTCATGGCCACGACAACACACAAAATTAATGTTAGATCTCTTCGCTTTCGTCGCGTTTCCTTCTCGCCTTGCCTACCGCTTTCTTCGACAAAACGGCAACATATATTTGTACGTGGTAGAGCCATGCTGCAGCTATATTAATAGAATAGTTTTAGCACGAATGGGTCGGCTCGACCGGGGAAAGACCACGCTCTCACAGAATACCAGCGTAAAATAGCAGCTTAACGCTGCTGTGTTTCGTAGGGTGAGTGTAGAGAATCGGAGACCCTTTTTACTGGAAGCGAAGCATTCCATCTTAGTCCTCACGGGTGACAACGCATATGCATTTTGATTCGTAATCAAAGATAAATGTAGATGTCTATGGGCCACAGCAACCACTTACCATCAGGTGGACTGTGCTCGTTTGTCACCCTTACCCTATAAAAAAATACAAAAAAAACATACTTGTCACGGACTCTTAAATCGACGGGGAAGTGAATAATAATATTCAACTAAACGTTACCAAGATTAATCTTTACTTTTATAATAAAAAATCAAATGAGATTGGTCACGGTTTTGAATAACACTAATTTTATGGAATTTATTGTGTTTAATTTATTTCAGTAATATGTTTTAAGTTAAATTAGTGGTGATAAATTCCGTAAATTTAGTTTTATTTAAAATCAGGTATTAGTGTAAATGTAAGATATAAATAGGTCGAGGTTTACTTAACAAGCATCTCTTTGCATTAGGTGTTACGGACAGCTCCCTGTGCAGAGGCTGCATGGGCAATGAGGAAACAGCAGCCGACGTTTCAAATCACTAAGATTCCGCGAGAAGCTCGGGTGAATCTCATAACATTTAATTCCTGCCTTCATACAAAATACGCGCTTAGACGTGGAGTTGCGGACACCAGCCCGGCTCAATCAGTCAATCAATCAGTATTTTAATCAAACGTTGAAAAATAAAACGGTCGTTTAAAATAAAATAGTGTACTTACATTGGCATGGTTCTCAACAAGGCACAGGAAGACCACGTCCTCTCGCATAAGCCGCACAGCGCCATGCAGCGGCTGCGGCGTCTTACTCTTCAGCATGCGGTATAGCAACGCAGAAGACATGTGGGCAAAGTCGTCACCTGCGAGACAAAAAAAAAACTAAGTATATTCTCTAATCACTTAAGGTTGTGCATTATGTACCGTTTCTTATTATGGTCGCCACTTTCAGCTCGGTTTCCGGTGTCTGACTTAAAAAGTCTGTCATAAAAAGAATACATGAACATTATATCTACCTATGCCAAAAACGACTGAGCTATTGCACAAAAGATGATGACTTCTCTGGGATTCGAACAGAGAACTTACGATACAATAACCTCTACAATATTATTCTGATACTTAACCGCTAATCTATGCAGAATCGGGTTTGGCACATCCATTAATAAATAACTAACTGATATAATAAGAATTTTTTTAATAGATTTCTTATATTTACGCGAATATTACGCATTTAAATAAAACTAGTTTTTACGGGTTTTATCGCGTACATTAACTTATTCTATATTCCCGACGTTTCGAGCACTTTACAGCACCCATGGTCAGGGGGGGAGGGGGGACTGAGGTGTTCGACGTCCCAATATCATCGTAAACCACTGCTTCCTCCAATATTATTAAAATTATTGACATTGAGACAACGAACACCTCAGTCCCCTGTTTTATTTAGAATTTTTTAATTAAATAATTTGTCATAAATCATGTTCGATATTCCATTTTCTAGCGACTTCAAAATGAAGACGGTACTCAATTCGACTGTATGTTTTTTTTATGTGTGAGATAAGATGATGAGATGCAGCTCATAACTTTTTACGGGGTGAACCGATTTCGATAATTCTTTTTTATTTAAAAGCTGGTGCTTCATATGTGGTCCCATATAAATTTGATCAAGGTCTGACGAATACTTTTCGAGTTATTCTTAATAATTTAAATTGAATTTGGTTGTATAAAATTTTGAATTTTAAATTATATTTTAAGATGTTTGTTTTGATGTTTGTTGTTTAAAAAATACAAATAAGGTGAAACACTGTGTCATTACAGTACACCATATTCTCATACGATTTCTATAAAAATGTTTATTTTGACAACTCTTAAAAAGCATTTCATTTTGGTGACAAATACCTAATTGTGTACCTTAATACTGTACTGCTTATCAAACTTACCTGTAAGATCATCCCAATGTGTAGAAATCAGACCAGAGCAATGTTCTTTAAGTGCAGTTGCACCAATTTCATCGGCCGCTGAATAAAACTTGACACAGGTCCTAGAGAATTTAAAAAAAAATCGTCAAATATCGTCATATTAAAAATATACCATACCGGCAATCGGCCTTTGTGAAAGTAGTGTTGTGGCTGTTCATACTCATTTGCAGGGTGCAAATGAGTATGAAAATCTCCTATATAAAAAGATATACCAATGGAAAATAGTTCAACGTCCGCGCCCCCTGGCCTTTTAACTCAGCAAACATCTTGACTTCGTACCATTGCTGACGAATCAATTCAGGCGTACACAGGGAGGAAAAACATGAAGTATGAAGTGTGTATGTAGTAAATAATTATACGACAATAATAAAGGGTCGGCTCGACCGGGGGAAGGACCACGCTCTCACAGAATACCAGCATAAAATAGCAGCTTAACGCTGCTGTGTTTCGTATGGTGAGTGTAGAGAACTGGAGAACCTTTTTACTGGAAACGAGGCATTCCATCTTAGTCCTCACGGGTGACAACGCATCTGCATTTTGATTCGTAATCGAAGATAGATGTAGATCTCTATGGGCCACAGCAACCACTTACCATCAGCTGGACTGTGTGCTCGTTTGTCACCCTTTCTTTAAAAAAAAATTATAAATTGCTAAAATAGTCTCCTAACCATTATCTGATTTCATGTATGGTTACATTTTTAAAACTCAAATTGTAGTTATAATTTAAACTTAAATTGCTGATATGTAAAAAATGTAGCGGTGAAGCGTTTCGATGATATTACGTTACCCTGCAATTTTTTTTGCAAGACATACAACATTGTCTTGCAAAAAAAATTGTTAACATACTTAAGGAGATAATAGGCTGGGGAAAAAGTTTATTTGTATTTTGATTGTGTAAAATTGAATAAAAATCTCTTTGGTTGTACTGTTTGAATGTGGTTGGTTTTACTATCAATACACAAAAAGTAAAAAACAGTTTTCCGTCATTTTTCAATTCTTTTTCTGTCCGCCAAAATCTAACGAAGAAATTCGATACATTCTGAAGTTTAATTACAAAAAAGGAAAAAATGCGACTCAAGCCTCGAAAAAAAAAGTGTGGTATTTACAGACCTCATGCAGTGTCAGTAACAGTAGCACAAAGTTGGTTCAAGGGATTTTAGTTCGAGAATTTTGATGTTAAAGAATCTGATGCCATTTTTGAAAAAGTGGAGTAAGATCGGCATATTAGTAGTTACGGACATAGCCGGGGAGTTGAGGATTGACCACAAAACAGTTTTGACCCATTTGAATAAGTCTGGCCATACAAAAAAGCTCGATATTTGGGTACCACACGAGCTCACTGAAAGAAACCTAATGAATCGTGTATGTACTCCCTTTGCAATTCTCTATTGAAACGTAATGAAACGACAGTAGCGAAACCCGGATTAACACGCAATAAAGTGATGCTGTGTGTATGGTGGGATAGGAAGGGCATCGTTTATTATGAGCCTTTACCGCCGGACAAAGCCATCGATTCAGACCTCTACTGTCAACAAGTAATGAGACTCAAGCAAGAAATTGAGAAAAAACGGCAGGAATTAATCAATAGAAAAATAGGTGATCTTTCATCATAAGAACGGCAGACCACACACCTTTGGCCACTCAGCAAAAATTGAGAGAGCTTGGTTGGAAAGTGTTAATGCATCCACCATATAGTTCTGACCTTGCTCCCTCAGATTTTCTCCTATTTCGGTCTCTTCAAAATTCTTTAGGTAGTGTTAGGTTAACATCAAGAGAGGACTGTCAAAACTACTTGTCGCATTTTTTTGGTCAAATATCCCAAGATTTCTACAGCAACGGGATTATTTCACTACCTATCTACCATGGGGAGTGCTCTGAGGAATTGTTCGGATTAATCCCAGCCGCCAAATTTCACGAACGAACATCGCGGCAGAACTCCCGATACCATCCACACCATCTGGATGATTGGCGGTCCACCACTGTGCGATTTAGAAGATGTTTTCTTCCTCGCACAACTTCCTTGTGGAATAGTTTACCACCAGGGATTTTTCCGGACCGATACGACTTAGGGACCTTCAAGAAAAGAGCCTACTCCTTTTTAAAAGGCCGGCAACGCATCTGCAATTCCCCTGGTGTTGCGGTTGTTCATGGGCGGCGGTAGTCACTTACCATCAGGTGAGCCGCATGCTCGTTTGCCCCCTCTCCTATAAAAAAAAAAAAAAAAAAAAAACCTAAAAGATGGCAACAACTTATGAAACTAAATGGCACGAATATATTACATTTAAATGTAATTAAACTTTGAAAAAAAAAATCTCTTGAATTTGTACATAAAATACGAAGAAACTTTATCCCCGACCTAATATATATCAGGGAGAAAATCAAGTGAATGGTGGTATAATTATTTTGTTTACGCCAGACTAGAACAGCGTAACAAAAAAGTACACAGTGCACCTACCGGTAAGTGGGTATTATAACCCATAGATACCAAACTTATTACTCACTGCTGAACTTAGACCTCCCCCAAGAATGCCATGTCAAGCATTAATGCCCCCAAGATAACATCAAAGCGCGGTTCCGAGCCACCTGCATCCATCGATTTCCTGCAAGTTTTACCAGGTCGTCACTCCATCTAGTGGTGGGACGCCCTACACTTTGCCTGCCGGTACGAGGCTGCCACTCGAGAACCTTTCTTCCCCATCGGTTGTCAGTTCTTCGAGCTATATGGCCGGCCCATAATCACTTCAGCATACTAATTCTTTGAGCTATGTTGGTTACTCTGGTTCTACTGCGGATTTCCTTGTTTTTAAGTCTATCACACAGAGAAGCGCCGAGTATAGCCCTCTCCATAGCTCGCTGAGCGACTTTGAGCTTCCTCATACGGCCAGCAGTGAAGGACCACGTCTCAGATCCATAGATCATAACTGGCAACACGCACTGGTTGTACAATCTAGTTTTGAGGTACGTCTGCCGAGAAGATGTGTCGTAATCTCCCGAACGCTATTCATCCGAGTTGAAACCGTCGATTGACGTCTCGGTCAAAGTTGGGCTTACCTAGTCGGGCTATTTGTCCCAGCTCCCGGGTAAACATATTCGTCAACAACTTCGAGCTTAATGCTCCCAACAACTACCGGCATAGGTGTGACATTGACGTTAAACACGACTTTTGTTTTGTCCATATTCGTCTTAAGACCTATCCGTTGGGAGACACTATTGAGGTCATTGAGCATAGTGCTTAATTCCTCCAGCAATACTGCAATAAGGAATATATCGTCGGAAAATCGAAGGTGAGCGATGTATTCGCCATTGACGTTAATACCGTATCCTTTCCAGTCCAGTAGTTTAAAAACGTCTTCAAATGTAGCGGTGAAGCGTTTCGATGATATTACGTTACCCTGTCTTACACCTCTCTGCAGTTGGATAGGTTTCGTACTCTGGTTCTGTACTCGGATAGCCATCGTAGCCCTACTGTACAAAAACTTCAGCACTTCGATATACCGACAGTCAACTTGGCACCGCTGAAGGGACTGCAGCACCGCTCAAATTTCGACGGAATCAAAGGCTTTCTTATAGTCCACATATGCAAGACATAGTGGCAGATTGTACTCTTTGGTCTTCTGTACAATATGCCGAAGGATATGTATGTGGTCTATGGTGCTAAAGCCTTTTCGGAAACCGGCTTGTTCGGGAGGCTGGAAGTCGTCGAGTATGCGTGCGAGACGATTCAACGAGACGAACAGAACGTAGGCGCGGCTCAGAAGGGAAATCGGTCTGTAGTTCTTTAAGAGAGCGTTGTCGCCTTTCTTGAAGAACAAGACCACCGCACTTCTGCTCCACGCCTCCGAAGTAGCCATTCTAATCTCGCTTAGACTGACGTCCGGAGTATCATCGGAATAGTGTCGGATAAGACTTGCTCTTGGATCGTTACTCACACTTGCGTGTGGCTCCAACGATGACGTGTACAGCTGCCCATAGAACCTCTCAATCTCACTCAAAATCTCAGGTGTCGCGGAAACGATGCTGCCACATTCAGTCTTCAGCTTCGACAGTTGGCTCTTTCTGGCAGACAGATCTCTGGAAAAGACTTTGGGGCACTGGTTCCGCTCGATCGCTTCTTCAATACGTGCTGTAATGAAGTTGCGTAAGTCCCGCCGCATGCATTTGGAGATCTGTCTGTTCAGTTGCCTGTGAATGCTGTGTACGCTGTCATATGTGCTGAAGACTGCAGCTTCATTTCCCGTCTAACAGCCCTGAGATTAAAAGTGTGATCAGAGAGTTTGTGTTTCTGCGGCGGGTTTTGCTAAACTTAGCTCCGACCGCATGGACAGTTACCACGAGCTTGTCATTCATATCGTCCACTGCATTGCAATCTTTTAGGCACTGAAAACGGTTTTGTAACTGGAGCTGAAAGTTTCGGGACCTTGGATTAGAGCTTTATACGTGGTAGAGCCATGCTGCAGCTATATTAGTCGTATAGTAGTAGCACGAATGGGTCGGCTCGACCGGGGAAGGACCACGCTCTCACAGAATACCAGCGTAAAATAGCAGCTTAACACTGCTGTGTTTCGTATGGTGAGTGTAGAGAACCGGAGACCCTTTTTACTGGAAAAGAAGCATTCCATCTTAGTCCTTACGGGTGACAATGCATCTGCATTTTGATTCGCAAACGAGGATAGATGTAGATGTCTTTGGGCCACTGCAAACACTTACCATCCGGTAGACTGTGTGCTCGTTTGTCACCCTATCCTATAAAAAATGAGCACATTGGGGATGTAGCGGTGACTTCATTAGACGACACACGTGTATATAACCACTACTAAAAATAACTGGTCAGCCATTGTTGTACTCTTTAGATCATCTGAATACTAAGTTTAAAAAATATATACCATGAAAAAAATCGCAGAGGCGGCGATCGCTATTGCAAAATGAAAAGATTTGTCATCCAGACCGAATATCGGTCACAGCGGCTAGTCTCAACAGAGACAAACTATCTGGACTACAACTATAGTGAATGAATATGCACAAGCACAGGTGCACCCTCTATTCCCTCACCCTTATAGCCTGATGGGATGGCAATCTGACACAAGCAGAGAGAAATAAATCACAGGCTTTACATGCTTTCCGAGGCAAAAGGGTGAATCACCACTAACTTCGTGATACTGCATTATGCACAGCATCCACTTACCATCAGGTAAAGTGTGTCCATTTGTCACACATATTCTATGAAAAAATAAATGGAATTAAAAGCAAGGCCAGGCCAAGACCAGACAAGAATTTACCCTTTGTGGGCAGTAAAGCTATTGTCTCCGCCGAAGGCATCGTCTCCTTTTTAATTAATTTACTGTACTGCCAGTTACATAACCTCTTCATATTTATGGAAAGGCTTATTGATAGACAAATCTAGATAACAAATATTTTTTAATGTGTAATTAATTCATTAACAAATTTAAATATATCGTTATTGTTAGTTGAAAATAGTCATTAAATCACACCGTCGGAGACCCGTGCTATCAAATACGCACAAAGGGAATGACGGCACTTTCATTAACGCATTTATGTCCGAATCTGACTGAAACTTTTGACTATGCTATATTGTATACACAATAATGAAAACAACAAAAACCTATTAACTAAAATTATTACATTGCCTTTATAGTAGCGTTATAATTACAAGAACTCTTGTGTTTCCTCACTAAATTACTGTACTTATACTCAAGGTGAGAAAGAATCAGCCGTCTTGTCATATTTACCTTACTCCAACTGAAGTTATAAGTGCTTGTTCACATTTTCCAACCAATCCATACAGCTTAAAGCTAGCAGCACATTTCATAAGATGTAATGCAAAAGCATCACCTCTAGATAGATCTACCACATCTGTGTATAACCATTTAAGTAGTGCTGAACCAACATCATCTGGCAAATTGGACCAATCTGTAAATAATAATCACAGAAAACTATAATAACTGTTCAACAGTTACTATTGTACCTAAAATATTGTGCAAAAATGTTTTAGTAAATCATAGAGAAAACAGAGAAACATTTTCATACATAGTCCAAATAAAAACCTCTGTCGGACCATTTAATTATACAGTATTGTGATATGAACAGTATTTATGCATCATTTGTATGGACATAATAATTATTTAAATGATTTAAGTAACACTGGGCCTAAGTTTTATTCTTTAATGATGATAACAGAATCAATTGAGGATAAATGTACATGTATATGGGCCGCAGCATTCACTTACCATCAGGTGTACTGTGTGCTCATTTGTCACTCTTATTTTATAAAAAAAACAAATATCACAAACATATAATAATCATATATCCAAATATATGATTATTGGCAAAATAAATTATACTAGTCGACTTGAGCATATATGAAAGTTATTGTAAGCATTTGGCTAAGCATTTTTATATATGGTAGAGCCACGCTGCAGCTATATTATGGTTATGGTATGCTCTCACAGAATAACAGCGTAAAATAGCAGCTTAATGCTGCTGTGTTTTGTATGGTTTTTACTGGAAACGAGGCATTCCATCTTAGTCCTCAGGGGTGACAACACATCTGCATTTTGATCCTCAATTGAATATAAATGTAGATGTCTATGGGCCACAGAATTCACTTACCATAAGGTGAACTGTGTGCTCGTTTGTCAACCTTCTAATACAGACTATGTCTAAAAGACAGAATTAAACCCCAGAAAGACGATAACTTAATGCATCTAAAAATGCTGAAGAAACAGAATATTTGTCTACCAGATGCCTTTAATTTACTACTAACTAGTTTGGAATACCAGTTGTGTTACAGATACAGGTATGATTAAAGAAAATTCAAGTTTCCCATCTTACAAACTTTATATAAGTATACATATTTATCCTTTATTTTATTTGAGTCATTTAATGCTTTTGATATTTCTTAGTACCCCCAGTACTAAGAAATATTAAAACCTCAATAACTAGAATGTTATATAAATAATTACATTAAAAACTTCCTTTTTTTCTTCACAATTAAATAGGATCACTCTTATGGTACAACCTATTTAATAAAAAAAAAACATAAAAAATTGGTCCATAATTGGCAAAGATATAAGAGTAATAATGTAAATAAATACATACTAGATCACTCCTGGCATTGCTCTCTATCTATTCATGAAGTTTCATTACAATCGGTCCAGATATTTTAAAAATGAACTCAGACAGCCACATTTTAAAAATGGTTACTCCTTAGATTATTGATAAGTCATTGCGGTCAGAGCACGCGATGCTCCGCACCGCGATATCAATAGTCTAAGGGTTACTCATATATTAATGGCATGCAAATAACCCCCTCAGCTCAACATAAGGCAGTTATTTTAATATTACACACAGAAACTTAAATTTTCTTATATGTATAGATTATTATAAAAAACTTGTATACGAAAGTTACGTGTTCTGCTTAATAGGATTGCCAGGGCTATGTTTATAACAAATTTATTAAAGTTATTTAAACTTATTATGCCACTTTGGCTTAAATCTTTGTATTATATTTTCAAGTAAATTCCTATATGTCCCATAGTATCAAGTGTAAATTAGTCTACGACTTTTTTTAGTTGTCACCCTTGACGACTTACAGCATAACTCCACCAAATTCAACTCTTTATGACAGGATTTTCCAACCTTTTTTTGACCAGGTTTGACCAGGGACCAAAAAAATAACTGTGCTATCTAACAATAAATTATTAACACAACTTATAACATAGTTATAACAGTATTATTTGTGAATTTATTGTAAAAGCTTTAGGTAGGTAAAATATTTAAATCTTTCGCGGACCACATGTAAGCTCTTGTGGACCACCGGTTGGGAATAACAGCAATATGATATTAAAACAGTAACAGAGTAGTAATTCATAACATTATATTCATACATTATCAAAGGGAAACAAATCAGATGGGCAGTGGCATCTTCCTAATAACAACTAAAAATAAAAATCTGCATTTGCCAACCCGTTTGCCAAGCGTGGTAACTATGGCAAATACACCCTCTATGAGGCAATCTATATAGGCCTATGTCCAGCAGTGGACTTAAATAAGCTGTAATGGTAAGGGTAATATTATTTCATAGTAAAATAAATAATTATATAAATTACATGGTAAAAACTGGCTGGCTACTAGTTATATAAAATTATTATTAATCAGTGCCGTGTAGTGGCGGTTGAGAATATCCACTACCCCATATCTTCTCGTGGGTGTCGTAAAAGGCGACAAAGGGAAACAGGCAGGAGATGGGCAGCAGCATCTTCCTGATAATAGCCAAAATAACAATAAAAAAACTGCGGTTGCCAACCCGCTCGCCAAGCGTGGCAACTATGGCAATATACCCCCCATGAGCAATGACAATAATAAACGGCCCCTAGTCCCCGGCGGCCCCGCTATTCCTGGCTACGGTGGCGACCATGGTAACGGCGGGGCAGGGGGTGCTAAGAATCTCCGGTGGAGGTTCGGTTGCCACCTACAACGACTCGACCTGGCAACATACAACGCACGCACCCTGAGGACTGACGAGAAGATTGTGGAGCTGGAAGAAGAGATAGACAAGTTACGCTGGCATATTATAGGATTATCCGAAGTGAGGGGGAGGACACGGTAATCCTCGAATCCGGCAACTTGCTCTATTACCGGGAGGGCAACCATCTGTCCCAAGGAGGTGTCGGATTTATCGTCCACAAGTCTCTCGTTAACAACGTTGTAAAGATTGAGAGTGTGTCGACGAGGGTTGCGTACCTTATACTCAGAATCACCAAACGGTATTCGCTGAAGGTCATACAGGTTTACGCACCAACCTCGGCACACCCCGATCAGGAGGTGGAGGAAATGTATGAGGATATATCTAGAGCCATGCATTCCTCCAAAACCCAATATACGGTGTTAATGGGGCCAGCAGTTGGCTGACTTTATGGAGAAAGAGGGACTCTTTATGATGAACTCTTTCTTCCAGAAGCGGCCCCACAGGAAGTGGACCTGGTCGAGCCCCGACGGTTCGACAAAAAATGAGATTGACTTCATTATGACGACCAGACGACAACTGTTCAGTGATGTCTCAGTGATCGCGAGGGTGAAAACCGGCAGCGATCACCGAATGGTTAGAGGCACACTGAACCTAAACGTTAAGTTGGAGAGGAGTAGTGTAGTTGTACCACTTCTAGACCACCTGAGTCAGACGTGGTTCAACGACGTTCGTCGACGCCCGATCCTAAAAAAAAAAAAAAAAAAAAAAAAAAAAAAAAAAAAAAAAAAAAAAAAAAAAAAAAAAAACGGTTTTGGCATGCTCTGATCACGAATCCGCGGTCCATTTTTGTGTAGAATGCACGGTTCCGGAGATGTGTAGATCAATTACCTAATATCTAATTGATATCCGGTAAGGGCCTCCACCGTCATTAGCGTCCCATTGTTCCTATTGTTCTATTGTTCATTAATCACCTTCATTGCAGCGTGTGCGTCGACTATATCAGTGCTATTGTGTTATAGTTCTTTGTTTATACAACGCTAATCTGAATCATCAATAAAACACATTACATAATTTTGTTACAATTTTTATTTATAAAATACAAAATCTTATTAATTATTATCTATAAAATAGGAGCGAAACATCTCATCCACTAAAATATCGTTGTACAATGTGTTCCTTGTAAATATACTCGTAAAACTATGTATTGAACATCCTTGAAACTTATATAGTAAATACATTAAGCAATATTCGCCACAAACTGAAGTCCACTCATTCTGAATCCTATCAACATTCCAGTTCCATCTTTTACAATTCCTTTTTAAAAACTCTAGATGATATCGTACAGGTGATCGTCCATATGAATCAAAATATTGACCGACGTCATTCGTATCGATATATAAAGCTACCCAATGTGACCCTGGTTTATCATCTGTATCCAAATTACATATTATATACGTTGGTATCTATTTTTATATCTATTAGCTGCATAAACATTATTTTCTAGACTGGGGTGAATCTTTTTCAGATGTTGTTGTACATCTAGTGTATCCATGATATTACTGCTATTAATAGATTATTACAGTACCTAGCTACTCAATGAATAACATAGGAATGGTCAATTATAGTGATTTCTACATATTAAATTGCATTTTTGTGATATACAAATCGTACTTGAGTCATTGATCACCAAACAAAACACAATACGAAGAAATGTTGAGATAGGCAACGGAAATGCGAGATAAACTGATATGTTTCTAAATATTAAATTGCATTTTTGTGTTATACAAATCGTACTTGAGTCATTGATCACCAAACAAAACACAATACGAAGAAATGTTGAGATAGGCAACGGAAATGTGAGATAAACTGGTTGACGCATAAAGTAATTATCAACTCATTACGGAAATACTTTAGATTAGAATTTTTACGTACTGGTGGTATATAAGACCAACAAACGCACTCATCGAGTTAGTGTACGGTCGTTTGGCTACAGTGGATCTATCAATAGTACATTTGTGTTACTTCAATACACCAAAGGCTATGGATGTAAGTGTTTATTCTATTGACTAAATTACTTTTTTTCTGTTATTTTCATGTGTGTGTATTATTTTATTTAAATATTGTGTATGTATATGATTAAGCCGTGGTAACTCAGATGGTTAGCGCTAGCTGTAAATTTCACAGTACGCGACCCGGGTTCGATCCCCGCCAGCACCAATTAAATTGTTAATAGCAATTTTAAGTGCTTATTACCACGTGCTTGGTGGTGAAGGAAAACATCGTGAGGAAACCTGCATGTCTGAGAAAATTTCGAAGGCATGTGAAGTTCGCCAACACACATTGAGGGAGCGCGGCGGACATTTCCTTGCTCTAAAACCCTCTCAGAAATGAGAGGAGGCCTATGTTCAGCAGTGGACTTTAATAGGCTGTAACTTTAACTTTT